TCCAAAACTGAAGGCAGTTTGGATGCAGTTTTTTTCGGAAAAATAAACACTTTTTCCGGAAAAAAAAACCCCTCTTCCTTACAAAAACAAGGTTGACGCAGTTTTTTCGAAAAAGGGTTTTTTTCCCGAAAAAAGCATGCGCAGACTGCTTTCACTTTCGAAAGCAGAGCTTTCAAAAGTGTGTTTAGAAGAATATAGAGCATCCACGTTCGAAAAAAGAACGTCGTTGAGACGTACCCGTAGATTCGAATTTTCGACCTTTGCAACACACCCCAAAATTCTGTTAAAAGAATGTTTTTCTTTCTTACCGTACTCCAGTAACACCCAGGAAACCATTGTCTGAAATGTCAGCATGCAAATTACCTCCTGGTACGCCTACGCCCCTCTCAGCCTGCGTCTCCCCCCGTCCTCCCACGAACCAGTCAGCCAGAGAGGACTTTAGCAAGTGAGTCAGACCCCAAACTGCCCTTCGCCTCCACTTGACTGCACACGTGCCAACACTCAACCATCCCTCTTTCCTCCACCTAGCCCATGCAGTCTGCTCAGGCCAAGATGGTTTTCGAAAAAGGGTTTTTTCCCGAAAAAAGCATGTGACCAGACTGTCTCTCTCTCTCTCTCCTTCTACGAGGGGACTTTCCAAACTCCCCTCCGCTCTGGCTTCCCCCAAGCCAATTCATTAATGACTCCCTTCCTCCAACCACTGATGGTCTCCTTATCTTAGCTTCTGATCTTGCTTGTTCCATTCCGCATGGGCGGGCAGTGTTTTGCTGCTGTTTACAGATACCCGCCCCACTGTGCTTAGCTCAGAGCCTGTAGGAGCTTTGAACCTCTGTCTCACCACACTGGCTAACGAGAAGACAAACGACAGTCTCCTTAGACATTTTAGCCCCTGGTTCTCCACCCGGTGAACTGGCTTTTATGATGAGAGGTTACTGAAAACGGCATTCGTCTTCTAGAATCCTAGAGCCCTAGAACTGGAAGGGACCTTAAGAAGTCGTCCTATCCAGTCTCCTGTCAGGGCAAAGTACTAGACCGTCCCTGACAGGCGTCTATCCAACCTGCTCTTAAATATCTCCAGAGATGGAGATTCCACAACCTCCCTGGGCAATTTATTCCAGTGTTTTACCACCCGGACAGGTAGGAACTTTTTCCTAATGTCCAACCTCAACCTCCCTTGCTGCAGTTTAAGCCCATTGCTTCTTGTCCTGTCCTCAGAGGCCAAGGGGAACAAGTTTTTCCCTTCTCTTTGTGACACCCTTTGAGATACTTGAAACCAGCTATCCGATGATCAAGTGCCCTGAACGAACACTATTCTCTACAGCTTCTTCTCATCCCAGTGAATCGGCCTATTCACCAGGTCACTCTGAACCTCCGATCTTACCCTGAGACAATGATTTCAGCCAATCCTTTCACAATTAAACACGAAGCCTACATCTACACTGCCCCCTCTTGCGCAAAAAAATTAGCAAATAAGGCAAAGCGTGGAATATCGCCATGCCTCATTTGCATAATTCACGAGGCTCCGTTTTTGCGCAAGAGGTTTTGATGCAAGAACTGTTCTTCCCGAAAAAAAATGCAGAAGAATTGCTCTTGCACAAGAGGGGGGTTTTGTGCAAAAAGGAGCCCTCTAGACAACTCTTTGTTGTGCAAAATCCTCTTACGCAAAAACAGAGCCTCATTATTTATGCAAATGAGGTATGGCCAATGCCAGCTGCCCCAGAGGGAGGGAACCAAACAGGGAATGATCAAGCAAAGTCTCTCCTGCCATCCATCTCCACCTTCTGACAAACAGAACTAGGGACCCCATTCCTTATCCAGCCTGGCTAATAGCCATTTATGGACTTAACCTCCATGAATCTATCTAGTTCTCTTTTATAGTCCTGGCCTTCACAACCTCCTCAGGCGAGGAGTTCCACAGGTTGACTGTGCACTGCGTGAAGAAGAACTTCCTTTGATTTGGTTTTAACCTGCTGCCCATTCATTTCATTGGGTGGCCCCTCGTTCTTATATTATGGGAACTCGAAAAGAACTTTTCCTTCTTCACTTTCTCCACGCTACTCATGATTTTATAGACCTCGAGCCTATCCTTAGTCTCCTCTTCTCCAAGTTGAAAAGTCTCAGTCGCTTTAATCTCTCCTTATATGGGACCCGTTCCAAACCCCTCGGCATTTTAATGGATCTTCTCTGAACTTTTTCCACTGCCAGTAGATCTTTTTGGAGATGAGGTGACCAGATCCGTATGCAGCATTCAAGATGTGGGCATCTCATGGTTTTATATAAGGGCAATAAGATATTCACTGTCTTATTCTCTATTCCTTTTTTAATAATTCCTTAAATTCTATTTGCTTTTTTGACTGCCACTGCACACTGTGTGAACGTCTTCAGGGAACTATCCACGAGGACTCCAAGATCTCTTTCCTAATTCATAGTTGCTAAATTAGCCCCCTTCATGTATGTATAGTTGGGGTTATTTTTCCCCAATATGCATTACTTTACATTTATTCACATTAAATTTCTTAGAGACTATGAATCCCTAATCTTGAGCATCTTGGTGTTAATTCATTTCTCTTTCTGCCTGTGTTTTGGCCTATGATCTGGGCAATAACATGAGTCCCCCTGTTTGTTCCGGGTCAGGGCGATTCCGGGGGCCCCCTCGTGTGTGGTGGCGTGGCCGAGGGCATCGTCTCCAAGTGCATCGGAAGCAAAATCAGCCCCCCGACTGTGTTCACTCGGATTTCCCACTTCCTGCCCTGGATCAAAGCCAACCTGCCGGAGCAATACAGAGTCGATGGTCGGCCACCGGCTTCTGCAACGCCACCTGCTCCTGGAAACGCGGGGTCAGGCCTCCCTCTGCATCTGGGCCCTCGACCCATCATCGGTTTGTGATTGACATGGTCCTCGTGGCCAGTGTGTTGAGGGCGCCCCCTGCTGGGGAAAGGCCCATGGCACAGCACCATCTCCCTGCGACAGCTCCCCCTGGAATGAATTGGAACTACTGCCCCCTGGAGGTCCCTCTAAGCCAGCCACTCCATGGCGGATGGGAACTGGCGCCCCCTAGCGCAGATAGAGAATGTACCATGTTCCTTCCTGCTTGATCCTGAAGAGTCTCTGTAACATAGGGTCTGTCTACACTACAAAGTTAATTCGAACTAACGGACGTTAGTTCGAATTAACTTTGATAGGCGCTACACTCGCGCTCCGCTAGTTCCAACTTAATTCAAACTAGCGGAGCGCTTAGTTCGAACTAGGTAAACCTCATTGTACGAGGACTAAGCCTAGTTTGAACTTACTAGGTGTAGTAGCCCCTTAATTCGAACTAGTGGGAGGCTAGCCCTCCCCAGGTTTCCCTGGTGGCCACTCTGGCCAACACCAGGGAATCTCTATTGCCCCCCTCCCGGCCCCGGAGCCCTTAAAGGGGCACGGGCTGGCTACGGTGCCCGTGCCAGGTGCAAGCCTGCCAGCACCCAGCCAGCAGACCCT